TAAAATAAAGTGTCAGTGATTCCAACTCTTAAGCTGCTTAGCAGAAGAAAAGACATGGTGATCTGCTTCCTGAAAGATTACAGCCTATGAGGCACTTCTAGATCTACTTGGTCATGAATCAGCCTGAGAGCATACAACTGTGGGAGAAACAATGCTAAGCTCTGTACTTCATACAGTTCCAACTCTCATGAAGCAAAAGCTATAACCATAAAACTCGTGTAATGAGGTATAGACTATGATCAAGGGGGATGCACAAGGTATTAATGGGACACTCAAAAGAAGAGTGTCTAACCTAAAGAAAAGTACGTTAGGACAGAGAGAAAGCCATTAAAAATATAAGATTCTATAGGATAAGAATCAGATAGTGGCTCATACAATGACTGTCTTTAATAATTGGGTTTTGTGTCGACTTGATTATATTTGTGGGAAGATGTGGGTAGAGTCCAACCTATCCATTGGGATACAGTTCCCACAACAAAGAATTATTCTGCCCAAAGTGTCAATAGGACTGAGGTTACAAAAGCGTGCTCTTTCAAATTCTAATGATCATCTTTAAAGGCATCTCTGGAATGTATTCAATACCAAACCCTCACTGCCAATGAGCTGATGCTGACTCACAGGCACCCGATAGGACAGGGTAGAACTGCCCGTGAGTTTCCGAGACGGTAGTGTTTACAGGAGCAGAAAGCCCTGTCTTTCTCCCTTGGTGGTTTCGAACTGCTGATCATGCAGATTGCATAACCACTACATAAGCAGGACCCCTCTAAATGTATTCCATGGACAAGTGTAACTAAACTTAAACATAAGGAACAATGAATAGAAAGTGTCTGGTGGCCTAATGGCTAAGTTGGACAGCTAACCAAAGGTCAGCACTATGAAATCACCAGCTGTTATTTGGAATTAACAAGTGAGGCTGTTTTGGGTTTGCCTTTGTTTTTTATAGAAGCCCAAGTGGGCTCCTGTAAAGATTGAGTCTCAGGAATTCAGTAAACTCCTAGGCTCATTGTGAGTCAGAATCAATTAGATGGCAGTGGATTTGGTTTTTGACTTGAGAAGCCAAAATACTGAAATATTACTCAGTACCAGTCATCTCTTCCTCCACCATTTTGGATTTCTGACCAGACAGCTGGTGGCACTGGGGTAGAAAAATGAAAGCGGAAACCATGTACAAATCAGTGGTTTCAAATGCAAATATTGCAATCTGCACTCGTGTGCTGGCCGTTGATGATCTGGATGAATGAACTCCTGATACGGTTCTCACTTTGCTTTACAATTTACAAGTCTGGGGAAAATAAGACCCCATATACTTATTAGGAAGGTTTACCAATCTTAGTAAAACTTAACAACAAATACATACTGGTCCAAAAGAAGGCTGGGCTTACTGGAGGCTCTACCCTCAGAAGTACTCAGGGGAGAGATGTCTGGACTTGAGTCACAATTCTGCTCCCATTGACTAATGATCTACAACAAATCACAACCTTCTATACCTGTCTATACATCTGTTAAACTTTTTTGGCCCTTCCAGTTAACATTTAATCTATAATTTAAAGAAAACCAAGGATAAAAAAGAGCAAGCTCACACATTTAGTCTGCTCTCCTCACTCCAATTATGCCTTATTCTGAGGCATTTAAAATTTTTCCTTTTCTTGTTCCAAGTTTCCCATGCTTATCTAACTTGATTCCCTCATTAATTTAAAAAAAAATTTCAATAAGGAAGTATGTGTCCTCTAAAAGTGACTCAAAGTAATTTAATGCAAATTACTTCAACCAAAGAGATCAATGTTATTTGGCATATTTATTTTAGAATTACTGTATCTGTATAATGTAGAAATAAGTCTTTTTAACTATCTTAAGAGTTCTGAAGGAAATGTACCAGAAATATATCCAACTTTATAAAGTGATTTCAACACGTGGGCCAAACATGCTGGGGGGCCAAAATTCAGGGGGGGAAATATTAATTTTTAGAAATATAGCAAGTGAATTTAAAACAATCAAGAGCTGGGAAAACTATTACCCTCAGGAATGACATAACTATTACAAGAGACACATACTAGACACATTCAAGATATAAGGTGAAGAACTAAAACATGATTATAATTATTGGTTACACTAACAGTGTGTGTCTAGTATAAGGTAACCAGACGTCCTGATTTTTGGAAAGAATGCATGACAAGCTAGGGAATGGTCTATTTGGTCCATATAGACCAAGTTTTAATCAAGAACACCCCCCACGCCCCCCACCCTCCACCCCACACCCCCACCACCCCTGGCAATGGTGTCCCGCTTTAAATCTGGTCACCTTAGTCTAATACAAGGAGGCTTCAAAAAGTCTGTGGAAACATTCCATTATCTTTCAATTCCATTTTTGGGGGGGTTTCTTTAAAAAATTTTTAAATGAAAAGATCATATTATTGGGGGCTCTTACAGCTCTTATAACAATCCATACACCAATTGCATCAAGCATATTTGTAAATATGTTGCCATCATTATTTTCTAAACATTTAACTTGCTATTGAGCCCTTGGTGTCAGCTCCTCTTTATTCCCCTTCCTCCTCCCCAACACACAAACTTTTTGAAGCCCCCACATATAAACATAATATCACAATTAAACTTCAGATAACTGAATTATATGCACCTGGTTCTAGTACACTTAAAATTAAGATTAAAAACAAGAGAAGCGTTTCAACATTCAAAATTATCTGAAATGTTTAAACTGATTTAAAATTAATCCCATCTCAGTCCTTAAGATTCTGAGTCTGGTCATGTGTTTAGGAAGATACTCAAATGTCCCTGATGATCAATTAGGATTAAAAGCTGGCCACCTTTAAAAAAAAAAAGGATTTTAAAATATAAGGGTTATGTAAATTTGACATTCATTCACTAAGGCCTTCGATAGCAAAGTTATTTAAATTGACCCTAAAGAATCCTAAGATTCTAAGGCAGCGATAAAACTTCTTTCAGTGAAGCCCAGGGAGGTTCTCAAAGTGGGGGCCACCATCTGTCAGGAAGGTCGTCTCAGGGGCTGCGCGTACACCAAACCACGAGGACCAGATGACCGTCCGGCAGCGATAACGTGGCTACCTTATCAAAGTGCAGTCGGGACAGCAGCACGGGGCTACTGGACTGCGGGCTCTTGTTGTAGGACGGCTGATACTTGTCGGCGTCTCTCCACTCGGGGACTTGCCGCCGGCCCTGCCGATCCCGGTAGGCACAAGCCCGTGTGAGCACCTCTCTGGGCAGGTGACAGGATGTCCGCCCACACATTCTCCAGCACCGCTCTCGACCTGGAAGTGACAGGACCTTAGGGAGAACGGGGCATCTCAGCTGCATCGCCGAGCCAGCCCAAAGCGCTGTCGCCGAGTAGGTTCCAACTGGGCGGGCCGCCCGGGGCATTCGAACCGCTGACTTTGCACCAGGACCCCTTCCTCCAATACATAGTGGGTCTGGCTGCTTTACGCCCGCGAGCACCCTCGAGGGCCCCGGGGTGCCCGCCCGCACATCACCCACTGTGGTCCCGACTAACGACTGCCTGGTTTTCCCGGACCTCCCCTCAGGGCAGGGG